GTCTCCTTCGACAGTTACACTGATGGAGATCTAAAGCTTTCTCCCTAGTATCATCAGTTTTTGATGCCAATCAAAGCAGTTGGCCTGGAAGTTTATAGAGAGTGCACATATACATGCATCTGTGCCTGCATTGCAGAATTCAGTCATCAACTGGCATCCAGTCGACAAATGTATGTTGATGCCACGTCCTATTCTGCATCAGGGCTACAGAGATAAACACAACAGAATTGCTCTCCTGAAGGAACTCGTGTTCTGGTAGAAGGGAAATATAATAAATATTGCTATACAATAGAAAGTGCTGGGTAATTTGGTAGATCTGTGTTAGGGCCACTCAGAACAGAGGAGGAGGAACACCCAGCCAACACCTTAAATATGAAACCTACCTTTTTTATTTTAATGGTAAAACTGAAACTACCTCTCAATAGAATTTTATATTTGTATTAATTAAGCTCAATCAGTTATTAGTTTCCAGTTATATATGTAGATTGAGGGACAGTATAAGAAACATTAAATCTGTAATATACTGTGGAAGGGCATTTGTATGAGTGTGTCTTTTAGGGCGTGAGTGGACCTGATTGTAAAATAGTGGAAATATAGTATGCTGAAGACTTGCCTGAAAGGTGGTTTAGTTTCCTGTTGTTGATCTTATCCATATTCCACTCAGTTCTCCATGTTGGGCTATATTTTAAAATTGTGTTTCGGTTATCTTTTCTTTTTAAAAGATTAAAAATATATATCTTTTTAGAAGTTTTTAAAGTTAAAAGGAACCTCGGAGGTCCTCCAGTCTGTTTTTTCATAACCAGCAAGGGGTGCCAGAATCACACAAAGGACTTTTACAGGTTGTGCATGTGCCTAGACCTCCATGGGTTCATTAGATCTGGGTTGGAGCCGAGGTATCTATATATATTTTTATATCTTCTGAGGTGATTCTGATAGGCAGTCTGTTGTGAACTAATACTCAAAATCAAACCTTTTAATAGAGAAAACCTGGTCTTCGGAGATGTCACTTGCCCAAAAGTCCCCACCCAACAGTCCCCGTAGGTAGGGTCAGCTGATTTCCACACTAATCTGTAATCTTTCACAAAATTACAAAAATCTATCCTCAGAGTAGATAAACCTATTAAGTAGAAATTAAGGATGTTTAGATTTTGTTGTTTTATTTCTTTATGGTGATGTGCATTAGTTTTCTATTTGGGGATGTTCGCTTGGCTTGAAGGGCAGTACTGAAGGACTTTTAAGCTCATCTATTAATTTTTCAAGTTTATAAATGGATTTTGGCAGCACCAAAACAAAATCGAAAACACCTTGCACCTCCTCTCCAACTTGCTGCTTCTGCTTGTTACTAAAGGCAGGAGAAAATCCCCAGAAATAACAAAATGTGAGGATAATTTCATAGGGGAATAAGAACTAATTTAATTGTTTGTGCAGTAAATAAAAAGAAAGAATTGGTTTCATTCTGAACATTAATCAAGATGCTCCTAAGTTACATGTGAAAGAACCTTTGAAAAGGGATATATGAGACCTCAATCTCTACAAAAAAAAAAAAAATTAGCTTGGCGTGGTGGCATGCGTCTATAGTCCCAGCTACTCGGAAGGCTGAGCTGGAAGGATGACTTGAGCCCAGGAATTCGAGGCTCAAGTGAGCTGTGAGCTGTGATTGTGCCACTGCACTCCACCCTAAGTGACAGCAAGATCTTGTCTCTAAAACTTTTTTTTTTTTTTTGTGAGACAGAGTCTCATTTTGTTGCCTAGGCTGGAGTGCCATGGCATCGGCTAGCTCACAGCACCCTCAAACTCCTGGGCTTAAATGATCCTCCTTCCTCAGCCTCCCGAGTAGCTGGGACTATAGGCGTGTGCCACCATGCCCAGCTAACTTTTTTTTTCTATATATTTTTAGTTGGTCAATTCATTTCTTTCTATTTTTAATAGAGACACAGGGTCTTGCTCTTGCTCAGGCTGGTGGTCTCAAACTCCTGAGCTCAAGTGATCCGCCAACCCACGGCCTTCCAGAGTACTAGGATTACAGACGTGAGCCACCATGCCTGGCCTAAAACTATTTTTAAAGCTGGGAGATATAGTCTATATAATAACCAACAGTAGAATTTTGACAAGGAAAAAATTTATCATTTTATTCAAGTTTTTTAATGTCAATGAATCCAGAACAGAAGGCTGAAAATAATGGGGGCATTATCCCACACTAAAGGACTCTCTTTTATAATGTATACCTTACAAAAAGAAAAATGTCTTCAGCCTTCTGAGCTGATGATCATGTTTAATAAACACTCCCTTGAAATGTACGTAGAACTGCAACAAGAGCCACACTTCAGAGAGCTTTTTATTCTTAGGTCTTTGACCATGATAGGAGTGGTGTGAAAAGACTGAAAAGGGAATCCCTTTTCAGCAAGCTGACTGGACAGTCTTGAAAATCTTTAAGAAATGAGTGTGTATGGGAAATTAAAGCTGCTTTAGAAGGTGTTCATATTTAGTCTTTGACCAATATTGTACAAAACGTGAACATCTTGAATAGTTCAGTGTGAATGTTAGCAAATGGTCTTTTTTTAATACTCTTCCATTAATGTCACTGTATTAATAACATTCCATGGAGTGAAAATAATCAGTTTGTGCCTATTTTCTTGTTGGTGGTCATTTGGTTTGTTTCTGCTTTTGTGCTAAAATAAAGCAAGCACAATGCTGCTATGATAACTATTAAATGTTTCTTCTGATGTATATATATATCAGAGTTTCTCTAAGGGTATGTAAAGGGAATTACTGGGTCATGAAGTGTTTGTCTTCAATTTATCTTTATAATGCCAAATTACTTTTCCAGTGTGGTTCTATCAATTCATTTTCCACCAGGAATGTTAAGTAAATGTTCTCACTACTCCTTGCCAACATTTGGTATTGTCAGACTTTAAAATTTTTGCCCATATGGCGAATGTAACAGGATATCTTGCTTTATATTACATTTTCCTGATTATTAATAAAATTTTGAGCATCTTTCCTTGGATTTCTTAGCCATTCAAGTTTCCTGTGTGTGTGAGAAATAACTTATGTCTTGTACATTTTTCCATTGGATAGTGTATCTTTTATTTATAGTTCTTTAAAATATTCTTGTTCATGATACTGTGGATATAGTTGTTTTGTATTTTGTAATAGAAATCTTCTTGATATAAAAGATATGTTACTATGGTTTTTTTCTAAGCTTAATGATTTAAATATATATATACACAAACCTTAAGTTGGTTTTAATTTATTTATTTATGAGACAAAGTCTTGCTCTGTTGCCAGGCTAGAGTGCCATGGCATCAGTGTAGCTCACAGCAACCTCAAACTCCCGGGCTCAAGCAATCCTTTTGCCTCAGCCTCCCAAGTAGCTGAGACTACAGGCATGCACTACCATGCCTGGCTAATTTTTTCTGTATATTTTTAGTTATCCAGCTAATTTCTTTCTATCTATTATAGAGACGAGATCTTGCTCTTGCTCAGGCTGGTCTTAAACTCCTGACCTTGAGCGATCTTCTGGCCTGTGCCTCTCAGAGTGCTAGGATTACAGGTGTGAGCGACCACGCCCGGCCAGGTTTTTTGTTTTGTTTTAAATGTAAGTTTTTACGTATAACAGGACAAATCCTGCTAGCTTTGTTTTTCTTCCGGAATTTATAGAATCTTCAGTATTTATATTAGTAGTTTGTGAAATAATATTAAAAAATATTATTGGGGGTCAGGCATGGTGACTCGTGCCTGTAATCCTAGAACTTTGGGAGACTGAGGCGGTAGGATTGCTTAAGGCCAGGAGTTTGAGACTTGTCTGGGCAACAAAGGGAGACCCCATCTCTACATTAAAATTTACAAAATAAAGTTTTTTAAAAATGATATTGGGGCTTTGATTACAATTGTATTCAATCTATATAGATTTGAAACAGCAGCTTTAAAAGAATTTCTGTGGCGCTGTGGCTCACGCCTGTAATATTAGCACTCTGGGAGGCCAAGACAGGCGAATTGCTCTAGGTCAGGAGTTCGAAATCAGCCTGAGCAAGAGCGAGACCCTGTCACTACTATAAATAGAAAGAAATTAATTGGCCAACTAATATATATATAGAAAAAATAGCCGGGCATGGTGGCGCATGCCTGTAGTCCCAGCTACTTTGGAGGCTGAGGCAGAAGGATTGCTTGAGCCCAGGAATTTGAGGTTGCTATGAGCTAGGCTGCCACCACGGCACTCGCTCTAGCCTGGGGAACAAAGCAAGACTGTCTAAAAAAAAAAAAAGAATTTCCGTGTATGTTGTATTATATATCTTTTATTTCTAAATATTATGGGTGGGGTTTTTTTGTTGTTTATTTTTACTATTGAAAGGGTTCTTTTAGTGCTAATGATCTTTAAATGCTGCAGAGATAGCTCATTGCCTTATATATTTAGTTATAAAAGGAAAGTATGTGGCTCTAAAACTGAACATTAAGTATAAAAATTCAAAATAAGAGTCTCCTCTCATTTATCACATTCTTAGCCCATTTTGAAGGGGCCACTGTGGTGCAAAGGCCATTGCCTTGTTTAGGTAGGTTTGTACTATGCTCTTAAATGTTTTTCACCTTATTTTATGAGACATAAATTAAGTCCTGTAGAATTGTATTGTCCTCTCATCCTAATTCATGGAAACTATTTGAATATGTGGTTAAAATATAACTGTGTTTCAGACAGCATTACTAGTAGACAGAGAGTGGTACGTTTTGAATCAGACATGAGTGTGGCTTATTATGTTTTGTGACTTCAAGCAAGTTTTATGATCTTTGTTTTCTCACCTGTGAAATAGGGACATTAAAATGCCTACTTATTATTCCAGACAGTCAAATACTTACTGAGTACCCTTTAATATGATCCCTTGTAAAGAGTTCAAAGAAATTACTTGTATCAGGTACCTGACACATGGGAGATACTATTTTGATATTTATTCCAGTTTCTTCTCTTTGGGTAATTTTTTCAGCCTCATTATCTTCTTTTTATTTAGAATCTACATCAGGAGACAAATCTGTATCACATTCTTGCACAACTCCTTCCACATCTTCTGCCTCTGGACTGAATCCGACATCTGCGCCTCCCACATCTGCTTCAGCAGTCCCTGTTTCTCCTGTTCCACAGTCACCAATACCTCCATTACTTCAGGACCCAAATCTTCTTAGACAGTTGCTTCCTGCTTTGCAAGCCACACTGCAGCTTAACAATTCTAATGTGGACATATCTAAAATAAATGAAGGTAAATTTTCATAGTAACAATTTTTAAAGATGTGTTTGCATTGTGCAAAATTATGTAATTAGTGAAATTCCTGTTAGGAATAGTCTTATTTTCCTCTCGAAATTCATGTTTGAACTTCTTGTTTTGAAATTTGGAATTTATATCCCCTGTAGTTGTTTAAGACCATTGGTAGTATAATTGAGTTAGTAATGCTTGCATTTTCTGTATATTTTTCAAGATATGCCACATATTTATGGAGAGAAGCCATTCTGTGTGCTATATGTGTATTATTTTTAAGTAAAAACAACGTAAAGAACATTTGTTAACATTAGTATAAAAGTTTTTTATTTCTAGTATATTTCTAAATGTATGGGGATAAATAATTACAGTATTAAAATATTCTAATTACTAGGATAGTAGGATTCATGTAGTTAAGTAAAATACTTGAAAAGATTCTGAGAAAGGAGGTAGGTACTGAATAAAGTTTTGCAATTTTCCTGGTTAATTACATTGTTTAATTCCATCCTTGTTTTTCAATATTGTACTCAAGTGTTTAGGCAGCCACCTCGAAAGAAGTCTCAATAAAAGTGGATATGGTTTTAATTTTGAAAATGTTCAATTCAAGCATTAAATCCTAAGCGCAATTTTCTGTTTAGATTAATCAGTTTCATTTTGTTTACATTTTCACATAATATTTTTTTTTTTTTTTTGAGACAGAGTCTCGCTTTCTTGCCCAGGCTAGAGTGAGTGCCGTGGTGTCAGCCTAGCTCACAGCAACCTCAAACTCCTGGGCTCAAGCGATCTTCCTGCCTCAGCCTCCCGAGTAGCTGGGACTATAGGCATGAGCCACCATGCCCGGCTGATTTTTATATTATATATATTAGTTGGCCAATTAATTTCTTTCTATTTTTATGGTAGAGATGGGGTCTCGCTCAGGCTGGTTTTGAACTCCTGACCTTGAGCAATCCGCCTGCCTCGGCCTCCCAGAGTGCTAGGATTACAGGCGTGAGCCACCGCGCCTGGCCCACATAATATATTAAACAGCAGTGTTAAATGGTTAAGTTCTTTTTTAATACTAGAAATAAAGCTAGTTGGTCATTATTTTTATTGTCCTCAACTTTTTTGTATTTTGACTTTATTCTCTAAGATAACTGCAAATTTTCTTGTTTCATAGGTAAATATTTCACTTAGGCAAAATGGGGCCTTTAAAAACAGTTTGAGGGAACAATATCACAAGATAATGTCAACGATAAAAGATCTTATGCATCAAAATACATGATATTCCTATGTACCAGCTTTTTTATATCCATTTTTAAAAGACTGTTGAGGTGGATGTTGATGTAGGTTTGAGTGGCCAGCTCATCTAAAAAAGCAGTCACATGAACTAGCAACCATTTATCCAGTTAATTCCAAATAACATACCGAGCACTTTACTTACATATGGATAGGTTTCTGGCATACTGGGAAATTCTGTCAATATGCTTTACTGTTTTTAAAAAGTCTCTTGAGGGGATTTCATTTAACTGATATCTTAATTTATTAGTTTAAAGGAAACTCTATTAGTTTATCTTTGTTGTAAACCTGTTAAGTTTGTTTTTTCTCTGCCTCAAGACATTGCAGATCTTTAGATTTCATTATATTACTCCTATCTTCGAGGCTTTTGAGAGTTCTGGTTTTAAACACTTGGGTTTTTCTGGGTTTTCTTTGAGCTTTTGAGTTACTAATACCACATATGCCTCTGTTTTTATTTGAATTTAGGAAATAATATGTTTTTAGTTCTTACAGCAGCTGTGACACAAGCCTCACTGCAATCTATAATTCATAAGTTCCTTACTGCTGGACCATCTGCTTTCAACATCACGTCTCTGATTTCACAAACTGCTCAGCTCTCTACACAAGGTATTCATGCTCTGATACTGCTAGAATAGCTTGATTTTGTTTGACAATTAGTGGCAGGTGTTCGGTTTTGTTTTTTTGTTGTTGTTTTGGCTTTTTTTTAGTTTTTGAAGAAAATTTAGTTTTTGATGAGATTTACGTTATCGGCTACAGTAATTTTATGTTTGGTTTTTATGACACTAGCATACACAGTAGTATTTTTATTTCCTTTTTATCTTTAGATGAAGTGAGCTTTGACATTTGTCCTAATGTATTGCTATCAAATCTGTAGTAATATATATATATATATTTAATTCAGTTTTTAAGTTGTTTTACTCCAAAACTGAAAGTAAACTGTTGATATACTTGTATCTTTATGAAACATTGCATGTATCTGAAGAGTTGAGGTTTGGGTCAGGTTGATGTTAGATGGTGTTTGAACAGATGTGAAATGCTCAGTTCCTACCTTGAACTAGCTATTCCTCTTCATGAAGATATCCACATGGGGAGGAATATACATAGGAACACATGGGAAGTGAACGGGTCACTTTGTCAGAAAGCTGAGAAACTGAGCAGGAATACCTGGTCTGGAGTGGAGGTATAATGGTACAGAGAGTCATACAACTCTCTGACTAGCCTCGCGAGCAGGAGACTGCAGGGGGTAACTCTGCTTACATGTGGAATAAGAAAGAAGAAATAAGGATGTTGAGGAGGCCTTCATGTGAGACAAGGTTTAGGTTTAGCTCTCTTTTTCAGCCTCAAAAAGGAGAGTGTGCCACACCAGGTGTGCTTACCTCTTAACACACAGTTCATTGAGCCAGTGAGGTCATATCTGACTTATGTTCTCTGTGGGGGGATAGGGTGTGAAGAGTGAGTCATAGATCTTCACCTCATATATTACAAAGGTTTTTTAAGTTTTTTGTTGTTGAAGTTAATTGCTTCATTCTTTTACAGCCCAGCCATCTAATCAGTCTCCAATGTCTTTAACATCTGATGCATCATCCCCAAGATCCTATGTTTCTCCAAGAATAAGCACACCTCAGACTAACACAGTCCCTATCAAACCTCTGATTAGTACCCCTCCTGTTTCATCACAGCCAAAGGTATGTCTCTTTGGAGGGAAATTTGGAAGCGGAACTACTTACTTTTCGAAAATTATTGTTTTAGGATCTGTATTTTAGAAAAGGTCCTCTAAGAATGAGGTGAAGTGAATGACAGGTGAGTGATAGCTGATGCAGGTTAAAGTTTCTGAGTTCACTGAGGGGTGAAGGGGGGGCTTGAATCTGGGCTACTTTTTATACACCACCTGAGCCCATTCCCTATTGGCTTTGGGATTTGTGGTATGAAGAGCCAGGATAAAGAAGATATACTGAGTCGGTCTTAATATTTATAGAATTTTCGAACTCTAAAAGACATGAGAGACTATGTTTTCCAGTGTTTTTTTCATACTTTTATTTAAAAAATTAGTTCTGTACTAAGAGCTTTATGTGTATTATATTTGACCTTCACATGAGAATCACCTACTTCATTTAATAGATAAGAAAATTAAACTTTCATTTAAGTCTAGTTTTTTGTGGTTATCAGAATTTGAAATCTAGGTCTTTGTGAATACAGAACTCATTTTACCAAGCTGTACTGCATGTGTATTTGTCCAAGCAAAATCTTAACATGGGTGGCTCCTTAGAGCACAGTTAGAAAATTGCTGGTCTATTCTTACCTATGAACAGGACCCTAGAATTCTATAGTAAATTTTATATCACATTATTTGAGTCTTGTCCATAATTCATAAGTAAATTCCACTTGTACTCATTCTTTGCTTTTTAACATGCCACTAGAAAAACATTGAAAGGTTTGGAGTTCACTGTGATAAGTTGTGATTATTTTTTTTTTTTTCAATTCCTAATGGCAAATGTTAGGGGTGAATTTTTTTTAGTACTTGTGAAACAAAGAATGCTAAGGGATTCTTTATTCAAACAATATCTTAACCAGAAGCCAAAAAATAAAAATGCATTGAAACATAGCTTGAAAGTGATAGTAGGCTAACTTTTAGGTGTTCTTATTTTTCAACCCTTCCCTCCCTTGGCCATTGATTTGTGCTTGTTTTAGGACCATTCTATATTGATTTTTTTCTTAGTTGCAAGTTACAGGTGTTAGTTTATAATGCAGTTCCTTGTCATTTGCCTGTACTTTGGGGCAGGGGAAGAATTAAAATGAGAGTTTCTGCAAAAGAGACCTTATTTTTAGAACTTATCTTCAGAGTGGTATTTTAAGAGTACAATAGATAGTAACTAAAAGTGAAATGAGCGGTAGTAGTTTTACAGTCAGCTTTGCATTCAAAAAACCTTTTCAAGTTGTATTAAAGAAATAATTGGACATAAGCTTATGTAATGTAGAACTTACTAAAGTGTACTTTTTAAAAGAGACTTTTGACTAGAATTGATAGATAATATTCAGAAGTAACAGGACTTTCCAGATTTGTTTGGGAGAATTATTAATCATTCAGAACAAACAGAAAACTAGCAGCTAGAGGATGTGACTTAATTACAAAAGGCTGCATCTGCCTTTGTGCCTTAATTTGGGGCTTGTAAACTGCTTGTTTTCTCCGCCTGTGGCATCTGAATATAAGTAGCCTGTGTATCCCCTTGACCTCTTGGTCTACCTCTGTAGGGCAGCATCTTTGAAAAACTCTTTGGTTGAATTTGTGTAGTTCATAGATCAATCTATATATTTCTCCGTATGTGGTTGAAGTCTGAGCAGCTATATTTGTATGATGCGGTAACATAGATATTTACTTTTACTGATATAAAAATAACATGCTGTGTTAGGAAGGTAACTTTATTGCATTGGGCCATATAACAAAAATAAATCTAATTTTTTAGTTAAATAATTTTTTTTTTTGAGACAGTCTCACTCTGTTGCCCAGGCTAGAGTGAGTGCCGTGGCGTCAGCCTTGCTCACAGCAACCTCAAACTCCTGGGCTCAAGCAATCCTGCTGCCTCAGCCTCCCGAGTAGCTGGGACGACAGGCACGCGCAACCATGCCCGGCTCATTTTTTCTATATGTATTAGTTGGCCAATTAATTTCTTTCTGACGGGGTCTCGCTCTTGCTCAGGCTGGTTTCGAACTCCTGACCTCGAGCAATCCGCCCACCTCGGCCTCCCAGAGAGCTAGGATTACAGGCGTGAGCCACCACGCCTGGCCTAAATAATTGTTTTTGTTAAATAAATAGTTAAGTTTCAAAACTTAACTGTCTTCTAGCTATGTGACCTTTGGCAAGTCCTTTGTTTTCATTTCTTTAATACTCCAGATTTTGCAGTGTTTATAGTTGCTGACTAGATTTGCGGGGAGAGTGTGGATTGGATTTGAGGGCCTAAACAGTAATTTACCCAATTTAATGTTTATATCACTAGTATTAATCTTATAAAACAAGACAGCCCTGCTCTCCTAGTGAGAGAATAGAAATAATAGGAAAGTTTCATTGGTACTAGAACTTCTGCTTTTCTTTAGTTTCCATGCTATTTGCCTACGTGTTAGAAGCCTGTCTCACCAGATTTTGACATTTCAGGTCAGTACTCCAGTAGTAGTTAAGCCAGGACCAGTGTCACAATCGGCCACACAGCAGCCTGTAACTGCTGACAAGCAGCAAGGTCATGAACCTGTCTCTCCTCGAAGTCTTCAGCGCTCAAGGTAAGTTGATACTATTTATGTACTGAGATACGTTATCTTCTTTATTATGGCAAACTGCTGTGTTCGACTATGATATATGCATAATAGAATTTAATATTGGAAGAATCCATAAGTAGCCTAAAATAGTTTCATGTATTATAAAATGTACAAAAACAGATCTTATATACAACAAGTATATAATTGTCTTTAGTAGCGAAGCTTGGGTTATTTTGAAGAACATGAATCTTTAAAATTTTACTTAGAATATGATAGGTCTCAAAATATAAATAATACTTATACAAAAGGGGCACATGATTTTACAATACTTTGTTGGAAATTACATCACTTTTTAACCTCCTGATAGCAGTTTTGAGTTGAGTATATTGAGTATATTGGTGAAGCCAAAAATCTCACATTGAAAACTTGGGCCAGTGTTTCCCAACTGGTATATGTCAGGCTTTCCCAATACTTTTAACTTTGACCCTATACGGATTGCTTTTTTTTTTTTTTTTTTTTTTTTGAGACAGAGTCTCACTTTGTTGTCCAGGCTAGAGTGAGTGCCGTGGCGTCAGTATAGCTCACAGCAACCTCAAACTCCTGGCTCAAGCAATCCTCCTGCCTCAGCCTCCCAAGTAGCTGGGACTACAGGCATTCGCCACCATGCCCGGCTAATTTTTTGTATATATATATATATATATATATATATATTAGTTGGCCAATTAATTTCTTTCTATTTATAGTAGAGACGGGGTCTCGCTTTTGCTCAGGCTGGTTTCGAACTCCTGACCTCGAGCAATCCGCCCGCCTCGGCCTCCCAGAGAGCTAGGATTACAGGCGTGAGCCACCGCGCCTGGCCCGGATTGCTTTTTAGATAGTTAAATAGCACTGTATTATGTTGTCACTTTTCTTTGTATTGACAATACAACCTTAAATGAAATTTATTTTATGGTTTTCATTTGATTGATTTTCCTATTTTTATTTCGTGTTATGAATTGGCAAAATAATTCAACTGTTGTTTTTGTTGTTTTTTGAACAAGCATTTCAGAACTTAAACATCCAAATGGGAGTTGTTCCCTTCAAAATAATCACCTTGGAAAGCTGTCTGCTTACTCCAGCAATGTTGCCATTGCTCAGAACATTTTTGGGAAATTCTTCTTTTAAATTGTCTTTAGAGGCTGCAGTATTATTTTAAATATCCTCAGTGATGAAAACACTTCATCCTTTGGGAGATTTAGTTTTTGGAAATAAGTGAAATTCATTCAGAGCCAAGTCTGGTGAAGCAGGTAGGAAATCAGCTTGGGTGATTAAATTTTTTGGTTCTCACCACCGTATCCCCAATCCCTGGCCCAAACCATTGAGTTTAAAAGAAGATAAACAATCTCAGAGTGTTACTTTTTTGGTCTTGTTTTGCCACTCTGCTGTCCAATAAAATGCCTATGCTTTTGCTTCATATTCAGCAGAACACTTTGTCCTGTTGTTGAACAGTCAAAGGCAATATATATTTTCCCCTCTTTTATCTAGATGTATGTGAATACAGTCTTCAGATGTGACATACTAGACAGCTGTTAAATGTGCACATTTCTTAGTGATATTCTTCATAGTGCTTGTGGTGTGCAAAATCAACAGGTCTGCTGTCACATTTGGAGAGTCACAGTTATTTTACTGTTGACTCTGACAGTAGTATTAAAAGGGCTCTTTTTTCCCCAAAGTGTATTGAGAAATACATGATGATATACTTTGGATTTTTAATTCTGTTTGATGTTAAAAATAACAAATTTTTCTTAAGAATTTAGATATCTTTTAAATTAAAACAAGTTACTAACAAGCAATTCCTAAGATACCCCAAAACTACTTTTAAACATACTACACATTCAATTCTGTTTTCTCTTCTAGTAGCCAGAGAAGTCCGTCACCTGGTCCAAATCATACTTCTGGTAGTAATGCATCAAATGCAACAGTTGTACCACAGAATTCATCTGCCCGACCTGCGTGTTCATTAACCCCTACGCTAGCAGCACACTTCAATGAAAATCTCATAAAACATGTTCAAGGATGGCCCGCAGATCATGCAGAGAAGCAGGTATGTTACCTTATTGACAGCCCATGCTTTACCTTTGAGTAACTCGCAAAATAGGACTTCATTCAACTTTTAGAGAATCCTAATCTAGACCACTTTACATTCAAGCTGTTTTTAAAATAACTAGTTGCTAATTTGATTATCTGTAGACATTTTATAAAATATTTGATATATATTTATAAAGTAGTTAATAATTTTCTGTGGTTTCACAAAGTAATTTTTTTATGTGTTATTTTTTTTTGTAAAGCCAGGGTCTGGCTATGTTGCTCAGGTTGACCTAAAACTCCTGGCCTCAAACTATCCTCTTTTACTCCCCAAAGTGTTGGGGATAGTATTTTAATACAATTATTGTAGCTACTATTACCAAGTACTTAGCATTTAGCTCGGTGCTAAGGCCTGTGTATTTATTTTCTTTGCTGCTTAAAACTGCTAAGCAGTGCAGATAATGAGTTTTCCAGTTACTGTTGTGCTTTTGCCAGTCAGCCACTCTGATAGTTTCAGAATCCATTATCTCACTTCAGAACTTTATCTCACTTCATTGTTCACAGTTACACATTTAACTCCTTGTTCTTCTACTCCCCCCCCCCACTACTATACTTAACTAGTATTTAAAAAAAAAAAAACTATTAATCTCATATGACTCTCCCAGTAGACTAGCAACTAGAAGTCAGGTGACATTTTTTTCTTTGGGATGGGAGATTTTAGGACATTGTAGGTTACTGCCATTTGCCTCTCCTTTTTATTAGATAACTGACCATCTAGGGTATTCTGAAAGTCAACAGAAGATATGTTACGTGTGTCATGATACAGGAGTATAGTGAGGCTCTTTGATCAACATTATACATGAACTTGCAGGAATGACAGGCTCTTTGGCTAACCCAGAATCTTTTATTAACCACAAATTAAGAGTCCTTTCCTGGTGCTATACTATCCTGAGATTAGAAATGGTATTTTTTAGAGAAACTTGATGGGAAGATCTTAAAAAAGAAGTACCTTCCATCATTAGAGACATTTTCTTAGAATCCTTTTTCTTCTTAATTTCTCCAGTATTTTTGTGTCTTTAAAGCAGAGGTATTATTCTATAATCTTGGTGTAAAGAAATTTAATATTTTATTTTGTGTATGTTAATGTGATTTATTTCATATGGTCTTTATTCCTTTAATCATAGGCATCAAGATTACGTGAAGAAGCCCATAACATGGGAAGCGTTCACATGTCAGAAATTTGTACTGAATTAAAAAATTTAAGATCTTTAGTCCGAGTATGTGAAATTCAAGCAACTTTGCGAGAACAAAGGTAAGTTTTTAACTGAAATAAACGTTTCTTAGAATTATGTATCTTAACTCAAAATAAAGAACATAAATGAAGTTTTATTTGTGATTTTTTTTTTTTTTTTTTGAGACGTCAGCTTAGCTCACAGCAACCTCAAACTTCTGGGCTCAAGCGATCTTCCTGCCTCAGGCTCCCAGGTAGCTGGGACTACAGGCATGCGCCACCATGCCCAGCTTATTTTTTGTATATATTTTTAGTTGGCCAAATAATTTCTTTCTATTTATATTAGAGACGGGGTCTCGCTCTTGCTCAGGCTGGTTTTAAACTCCTGACCTTGAGCGATTCTCCCGCCTCCAGTTGTGAGCCACTTTGCCCGGCCTGTTTGTGAAATTTAAAGTTCTTTTTGCTATATATTGTATCATGTTGTGTAACTATTTTCATAATTTAATATTTCTCATGACGGATAAGGCATATTGATTTTATTTTTCTTAACTCATGGTAAATAACTTCATTAGGCTTCTTCCCTTATAACTCCATAAGCTACAATAATGTATTATTTAAAAAGTAAAATGTTGACCGCAAGTAATTATAAATGTTCCCTCTTGAGGTTAAAACTCTTCCTAAAAGGTATTTATTTTAGTTGAAATTTCAAATTACTATTTATTTTTTTTTGTTTCTGTTTTTGTTTTTTGTTTGCTTTTTTATTTTTTATTAAAAGAATTTTTTCTTTTTATTTTATTTTTTTCTATTATTTTTTTCTCCTGAGCCCTAGTGCTATATCAGATTACTATTTATATTGTCCTTGTACCACCAATAGATTCCTTGGAAATAACAGAAAGAATTTGTCCTTGAGCAAGTTTAGTGATGTAGTGTACATGTTATTTTAATTTTTTTCACCTAGACTCTTGTCTCATTTATTAACCTACCATTTGCTCAAGTAGAATATCTAAGTCACAATAAATAGCATAGGTTTTTTAAAATTTTGAATGCTTATTAATTATAAAATTGAGGATAAACTTTCAATAGCTTCATGTCCTGTGTGTATAAGTTACTGGATTACAGGTTGAATTACTCGTCATGAAATCACAAACATTGAATAAATACCAAATGGGAATTCATGTTAAATTTGGAAAAGTGAGGTGGGTTTTTTGGTTTTTGTTTTGGTGTTTTTGTCTGTTTTTATTTTTGTTTGTAATTATTAAAGTTTCTGGAAGTACTTTTTGAATATCAAATACGATTTTTTTCACTATAGGATTTCTCTGAAAGCAGTTCCAACATGCATAAAACTTCATTTTGGCTTGCTAGACAGATCATTGACTTTTAGGAAATTACATTATTCATTCTTGCATCTTAGGAAAACAGTATATACAAATATCAAGCCAATATGTATGATTATGCCTACTTCACAAGTAAAGGCGGTAAATACCATGGTTCACAGAAGAGAGAGGTCTAAAGGGGAAACATTCTATGAAGTTTATGGGAATTTAGTTAACTGTGGGATTTGTGCTTTATTTTTTTGTTTTAAACATACAGCGTATCAATTGGACTTTTATTTGGCTCCATTTTCATGTACCTACGTCTACACTGAGAATTGCTCTTCTAAATGATTACCCTCTTATACTACTAGTTAATGCTAATCTTACTGTAATAGTGGGTTTATCTTATGTTTAATATCTACTGCTTTTCAAAAAATATGTGATTCAGTATATAGAGTAACAAATTTTAAATCATTATATTCAAAGTAATCACTGAGAAATTGCTAGAAAATGAAAACATTCTTTTGTCATCTGGACACTTTAGTATATGTATCATGTATTAAAATGGTTATTTTGTCTTAAGTGTAAACCAAAACAGTTTTTAATTAGTCTTAGTTATTTTAAGACATTTTTGTAGTTAAAAACTTGGTTTTTCTGTAACATTTATGTACACACAAATTCTGATATCTGCTTTTATTTTTCAGGATACTATTTCTGAGACAACAAATTAAGGAACTCGAAAAGCTAAAAAATCAGAATTCCTTCATGGTGTGAAGATGTGAATAATTGCACATGGTTTTGAGTACAGAAACTGTAAATCTGTTGCCCAATCTTAACATTTTTTGAGCTGCATTTAAGTAGACTTTGGACCGTTAAGCTGGGCAAAGGAAATGACAAGGGGACGGGATCTGTGAGAGTCAATTCAGGGGAAAGATACAAGATTGATTTGTAAAACCCTTGAAAATGTAGATTTCTTGTAGATGTATTCTTCACGTTGTAAATATGTTTTGTAGAGTGAAGCCATGGGAAGCCATGTGTAACAGAGCTTAGACATCCAAAACTAATCAATGCTGAGGTGGCTAAATACCTAGCCTTTTACATGTAAACCTGTCTGCAAAATTAGCTTTTTTAAAAAAATTTTGGGGGGGTTAATTTATCATTCAGAAATCTTGCATTTTCAAAAATTCAGTGCAAGCGCCAGGCGATCTGTGTGTAAGGATACAATTTTGAACCATACGGGCAGTGTATAAAATATCATGAAACAACTGTTTCCACACTTGCACCTGATCAAGAGCAGTGCTTCTCCATTTGTTTTGCAGAGAAATGTTTTTCATTTCCCGCGTGTTCCATTTCCCTCTTGAAATCCTTGATCTGATTTTATCCATTTTTTAAAGCTCCTCTTTTTCTCCTTTCTTAAGGCACTGTTGCTATGGCACTTTTCTATAACCTTTTCATTCCTGTGTACAGTAGCTTAAAATTGCAGTGATTGAGCATAACCCACTTGTTTGTATAAATTATTGAAATCCATTTGCACCCTGTAAGAATGGACTTAAAAGTACTGCTGGGCATGTGTGCTGAAAGTACATTGATTGCTCAAGTGTAAGGAAAATGGCCCAATGAACATGGTCGTGGGAGGGGAAAGAGGAAACAAAGCTAGTCAGATGTGAATTGTATCTGTTGTAATAAACATGTTAAAACAAACAAAAATTGTTATTTTTCTTTTCCTTCGGTCAGTGCATATTAGAATTTGAACTACCTGGGGATTCTTTAACAGAACTATTCTTGTTGAATATTTATACTTAATTGAAATAATTCCTTATGGGAGGTTTTTCTTTAAAGCATATTAACAGGAAATTGTGTATAAGATATTTAATGAAACATGAAATTCAACAAGAATGATTAAGTCACTTCCCAAGTGGTTGTCATTTGTTAAACCCTGGTTTACCTGTCTTGCTATTATGACATTTCATTTTGAAGGATGTTTGTGTTGTAGCTAACTGTTCAAGTCTGGTGCTGACTGCTGTTCTTAGCCATCACAAAACGCTAAATTTGTGTAATTGGAGCTTCCTGCTGTTATCTGAAAATGGTAGGAAAGCTCAGCTTTGTATATTGTTTCCTAAAGTATATTAAAATAAAAAAAGGAACTATTGCTACTATAAAATTACCTTGACTTTTTTTCTTTGCTAAGTTATTAGTCATGTGGTCTTAGCTTAACACTGCCAACATTGTATCAAATCATCGGATTTCTGTATGCAAAAAAAATTTTGTGTGTGTGTGTGTTTTTTTCTACCCTAAAGATTATTTTAACTTCATAATCTTAGCATCTGATTTACAGGGTCCCCCCCATCTGTTGAGGCAGATATGTGCTTCCAGAACAGCCAGCGCCAAGGGCTTGTTTTCAATGTTAGACATCAGCCTCGATGTTACCGGATTCTGGAATACTAAAATTTCAAAAATGCCCTTGTGCTTTAAGCGTATAGAAGTTAATGCTTAAACTTCTCAATAAATTTTAAAAGTAAACTGTAAGCATTAGTATTGTTGGTGTTTTCTAAAGTACAAAAATGTTCCAGTGTAAATAAGAGGAATTAAAATCTTATGCTGGAAGCTGATTTTTTTCTTGTAACCTAGAATTTTTTTTAAATGTATGAAAAAAAGTCATGAATTATATCGCCATGAAATGTTCATGCCTGTAAGATTGTTAATGTTAACATTTGCTGACCTTAATTAGTGCATGTAAACGAAACCCCACAGAGCTGTGATAAGCTAAAACCCTTACTGTATCTTTTCTAGAAAGAAGTGAGCGATTTGTTACTTAATAGGCGAATGTTTCCTGATCAGATGGCAACTTGTGATTTAGGCAGATTTGAATTTGATTCACTAATGGCTTTTTGATCCTGTTGCTCTTCCTTTGTTTTCAAAAAATGTTTACATTTTGAAATAGTCACATATTTAGAAGATGTCTAATGTGAAATTTCTTAGTAAATTTTTAAATGCAGAAAAGTAAAATTTTTGTAATGTTTGATCCACTTATGATTCTGTAGTAAAATATTTTAAATATTGCACTTTAATACAGACATGATGTCCAGCTCCTTACCTACTTAAGGTAACTAGGGAACTTCTATTATAATAGGCATAATATCCTGATACACACCTTATCTAGTTGGCCTGTTGTCATACATTAGAACATGTACCTTGGTTCAGATGATTTCAAGATAGAAATACTGAATAGTCCCTAGGGAACTTGAGAGTTTTTTTGTTTTAAAAGCTTAGTAGTCTTCCTTCCAACCTTAAAAACTGTTACTGTAACAAAACATTAATATGAAGGTGAGTCTATTAGAAATTTCCATGAAAAATCAGCTTTTGTACCTTTCCCCCATTTTCCAACTAGTTTTAAAACTGAGTAAAATTCCAGATTTTAAGCACGTTGAAATTTCAACTCCGTGCTCCAACCCCCTTTCAAGACATTCTGCTGCTTTTAATAGCTCAAGTGAGTGGTTTTATATTTCTTATGAATCTTTTGTTTCACAATTGTAAAATCTTGAGAAGGAGGTGCTTAAAACTTTACAGAGAATTGTTACCCCATTTCAAAAACAGTTTCTTGTTCTGTTTAAACACCAGCTTAGCTTTAAGGGACTCTTTCAAAAAGGAGCGGGCAGGGTGAGAAGTGATCCACCCTGCCTACCATAACTGCTAGTTCAGAACTTGGCGCTACTTTATTTAGATGTTGGATTTGAATACACAGGTTTCTTTTCGATACTTGTAAATATGGCTATATTCTTGTATTTGTACAAAGTGTACAAAATGGCACTAAAAAGTAATAAATATGTTTTGACTATATTGTGTAGTTGTTTTGGAACAGTGTATGTATTTTGGAACAGTCTTAGAATGCATACTTTGCATTTGAGTTAAGGAAATTTAAAATTACTGCTAACATTTTAATAGCCGTCCATGTGTTTCAATAGTCTTTAGTTTGTTAATTACACTATTTTAAAGAAAATTCTGACTTACAGTTGGAATTCCTTAAGTCTTGTCCCTCAGCTTGGGAGTGCCCTAAAGTGCAGTCTGCCTAGGTGACGCCATCAGGCTCTCCCGGTGTCACGTGACATCCCAGACATCTCCAGCCCTGATCTCTTGAGACCTCAACAGGTCAATTTAGATAGTGCCTTAAAGAACTCGGGATTGTGCTTCAGGCATTATTCTCCGTGTTACCATTTTTAGTAATTAACACCAGCCCTAGTTGCTCAAAACCCAAGGCTTCCTTTATTTTTTCTCTGACACCCGTATGTAATCCATCAAGGCCCAGGAGCTCTGCCTTCAGAATGTATGGGTCTGAGGCTGCTCACTACCTACCTCAAGGTTTACCGCTCCAGTCCAACCCACAGTCCTCTCTGAGCCAAACCCCTGGCAACCTTCCTGCTTCTACCCTTATCCCAGGCTCCCTCCACCCTCTCCCAAACTGTTTGTTCTCCATATGGCCCCCAGGGTGGACTGTAGACATCAAGTCACTCTGCTACTAAGCCCCCAGTGACCTCCAGCCAGAGTGCCTACCACGTGGCCTCCGCCAGTTCCCCCTGGCTCACCACAGGCCCTCCTAGGGGGATTTGACATCTTTCTCTCCTGGAAAATCTGCTAGGACTTTGCACAGCTTGCTGCCCAATCATCAGTCTCCAATGTCACCTCAGAGAGGCCCTTCCTGCCCACCCAGCCCATCTGAAAAGGGCAGCCTCCATCACTGTTCTTTACTCTAGTTTTCTTCAAAAGAACGGGGTCTGATACTCTAAATCTCTGTTGAGTGAATTAATGTTACGAGCTTCGGACAGAATTTAGGAGAATACAAAAGTGACCGAAATTTTTTTCCTGACGTTTTGATTTTGGAACAGAATGGAAAAGGAACAGCAAATAGTTTTTTTGTTTTTATTTTTTTTAAGAGCTGATTATACTTACTGGTTACCAAAACCTAACTCTAAACCTGTCAGCATTATGAAATTTTCTCTAAGCAAGAGTAACCAACTGAACCAGTAATAATTATGGCCTCCTATGAACACATTTTAGGAGTGAATAAGCCAGTGAGAAATGAGGTGCTGCTTCCAGCGACAACCTTGGGACCAGTAGGAACTGGCCTTGCTTCTCAAGGGCAGGGTTGGGTGAAACGTGGGGGGCTTGGAGACTCCTGGTTTCACAAGGTGAGGCCCACAGGCCAGTCTCTGGTTCAAATGATGCACTGACATCCAACCAGACCTTTCTGACTTTTTAGAACAGGAACTAGAGCAGGGTGGGAAAAAACTTTTCATGTTGGAAAGACGCATTTAGCTGTGATCAAATAAGACCATGAAAGAAACTTCAATTAGATATACTAAAAAATGTACATTACCTTGTAAAACTCTAACCACCATGTACTTAATTTCAAAAATTGAAAACTTTGTTAATTTTAGATTTAACCTTTTAATGACTTTGTTGTATCTGCTTTTTGTTGGGAAGCATTTGGATATTTGGTTGCAGCATGGAGGTCCACAGTTTCAGTTGATCTTCTAGAGGGGCATCGGTCATTTGTGACCTTAAGTGTGTCTTGATTCAGGTTAGGTAGGAGAATGCAGATTCACAGCAACAAGAGGTTGAAAAGCAAGAAAGCATTTTTGGGCATGTTGCCGAAGTTTCAGCATGGGTATTCTGCATTTTCCCATATTTCAATTGGATCTTTCTTAGCATTAAACAATGACTTTAAAATGTCAGCTGCTGGCCAGGTGCAGTGGCTCATGCCTGTAATCCTAGCACTTTGGGAGGCCAAGCGGGGAGGATTGCTTGAGCTCAGGAGTTACAGACCAGCCTGAACAACAGCAAGTCCCCATCGCTACTAAAAATAGAAAAATTAGAGTGTAGTGCGTGCCTGTAGTCCTAGCTACTCTGGAGGCTGAGGCAGATGATGACACCACTGCACTCCAGCCAGGGTGACAGAGCAAGACTCCTGTGTCATATAAGTCAGTCATCTGAGAGCTCAATCAGCTCCATCTGTAGTTCATTCGGTGCCTTGGTAAACATGAACTAGGTGAAGCCGAAAGTGCTACTTTGAGTGTGATGCCATGATTCTCAAATTCAGAGAAACTTTGTATCCTCAAATTAATAGGTCTATAATCACTGTGTGTTCTCCAAATGATTCACATGTATTACTCTGCTCATCAATGACCTTTGCTAACTCAGGAAAATGTTCATCAGAAATTTCCTTTTGAGGACGTGTTTTGAAAAATTTAGCTTTTCTTGAAATGCTTGGATTTTTTGCCACATATCATATACTGATTTAGTTTTGCCTTGCAAAGAAATATTCAAGTTGTTTTGATTTGAGATGATGTCACACAGAAATGCTACATTCTTATAGAAATCGCCTTTCAATAATTCACATTGCTGAATCTGTTCTTCATAAAATTTAACTGTTCTAAAAATTTTGGCTAACCCCTGATTCTGTCATAGCCAATGCACTTTAGAATACACAGCAAATCCAGACTGAGTACCTCATCCTTCAACTTTAGCATGTTACGAAACTGATGGTGCTGTGTTGCAATTGCAGGAATATAGTTAATCTGTACAACTTGTTGCAAAGTGTTACTTAAAATAGCACAGATTTTCCTGATGCAAGATACAATGAAAAGCATCTGGGCCGGGCGCGGCGCGGTGGCTCACGCCTGTAATCCTAGCACTCTGGGAGGCCGAGGCAGCGGATTGCTCGAGGTCAGGAGTTCAAAACCAGCCTGAGCAAGACCCCGTCTCTACTAAAAATAGAAAGAAATTAATTGGACAACTAAAAATATATATACAAAAAATTAGCCGGGCATGGTGGCGCATGCCTGTAGTCCCAGCTACTCGGGAGGCTGAGGCAGGAGGATTGCTTGAGCCCAGGAGTTTGAGGTTGCTGTGAGCTAGGCTGATGCCATGGTACTCACTCTAGCCTGGGCAACAAAGTGAGACTCTGTCTCAAAAAAAAAAAAAAAAGAAAAAAGAAAAGCATCTGGATCTGTTAATACTTTTTTTATCTGCACAATAAACCCTTCATGTTTTCCTGTCATGGAAGCTGCTCCGTCTAGACGTACATCATTGACTACATTTCCAATTTCACGTTTGTCTTGAAAAGTTGTTGAAGATATCTATTCCTGTGTTCTGTTCAGAAGAGTG